GCGCGCAGACTGTCAGGGCCCAGACTTCATATCTCCCCGGAAATGATTCAAGGACTTTGTGCTTACCTTATTTAGTGTGCCGGAACGCCTGTGCCCTTGCCAAGTCTGTGAACTTCGGCATGCAGGAAATGCTTTTGAGTTTTATCGACCTGCATTATTGAGGGGTGGTCGGCCTACTGCCTGAAAACCCTGATGGTCGGGCCTGGATCCGTATGTGCCAGGATTATGGTCTTTCATGATTTGGGCGGCTGAAGATAATTAAGTACCATGGTTTTGTTGTTGCTGCTTCCAACATGGATGCAGCTCTCGCGCCGACCTCGGACAGTGAGTGCTTGATTGGCCGTTGCGAGTCCGCCATCGCACGCTTCAACTGTATCACTGAGAACTGAGGTATGTTTGCTTCTGGCAGCAAAGGTCTACTTGCGAGGCAAGGTACCTGTTGTTACAAAAGAGAATACTAGCAGCTGATAAGAGGATAGAACTCCGACACTGCAAAGGAACAACGGACATGGATGTCTTTTTGCCCGCACAGTTGTGTTGCTGATCAAGCTTGCTTCCGCTAGGCGCAATAAGCCGTGCCAGCAACTTGCTGCGGAGCATACTGCAAATAAGAGGTTTGGCAATTGCTAAACTCTGCCCACAACCTCTGCAATACGCTTGCTGTCTGGGCTTGAAAGTGCTTGGCTTTCAGGCAGAGAGCTTGATTGCCACTGAGCCCTGCCAAGCACTCACTTGACCCAGTTGACATCCAGGCTGTGCTGGAGCAATGCTCTGAAAGCTGTAGACGAGCTCTGCAACAGGGATCCTGTCATCAACAAGGTCTCACCTGACTTGCTGTAGCGTTGACATGTCTAGAGTCTAGGGTAGCAAGGGGGTTTGCGTTCAGCGAATGCTGCTATTCTTCGCGACCAAGGATCACTTTTGGTCAGCGAATCTAATCTGGTCTGCCAACTCCGCGCATCCTTTCGCGCAGCAGTCCTCACCCCTCCGAGGTCCTTTTAGCCTCTTGAAGGGGGGATCTTTGCACGGCAAACCAGTGAAGAAAGAAGGAAGGGCGTCAAAACACACTTCTGAGCTTCTGCTAAGCTTGATGCCCCTCCCTCTGTCTTCGTCGAATTTACTTCGGCAGCTATCTTCCGGCCACCGGACGTTCTTCCAGGTCGTTGGCTTGATAGGTGAAGCCCTGGTCAGACAGCTGTCACCAAGCACAGCTGACCCACACAACCAAATCAATACTCCAAACGCACGCAACTTGCCTCAAAGTGGTTTACGTCCCGGAGGTGTGCGCCGTCAGCTACTTCAGAATTCACGACCTGCGTCTGGAGCCAAACCACACCCCAAAGGAGGTTCAAAGAAATTCAAGCTCCTGAGCTTGAGCTCCAGGCTGGGAGATCCACGAACTCTTTGTCAAAATACTTCACGTCACCACCCTGGAAGGATCCGCAGTGCTGGGAAGGAGTGCCGTCAGAGCGGCCTTCACTACCATCCCTTCCGGGGAATCACTACTCGCGCAACCCGTCCTCCGACCCAAGTCAAGGAACAATGCAGGCCAAACATTCTCGAAAGCTAGCCACACCCATCAACCCAAGTCCAAAGCTGCACCCTTGCCGCTGGCATGCCGTGATTTGAGATAGACCCTTCCATGACCCGCAGAAGTTCATTGCGCCCAGCCTGCTTAAGCTGACAATATCCGCTTATCTACGCGCTCAGCTTCATGTGCCTGCACTTCCCTTTCCCTGGCTTTCGTTCCCGAGCCGCGCTCAATCCCAGACCCAGCATTGCATAGTTTCTACCCTGTCCCCACCAGATGCGAATCTAGAAGCGCAAACACAAAGCCGAGTGCTCCATCATCATGCTATGGAAGGCTTGCGTCAACATGGTGGCTGCGTTGGACATGATAGGCTGCTGTCCTGCCTAGCACTGAAAGCAGGAGTAATTAGGCCCCGCCTCAATTGGACTCAGAAGGCCTGTGGAAGTGGGAAACCTCACCTCCCACCCTGCCCAGTGTCAATTAGGTTAGGGCGTCATCAGCCTTGGCCTCATGCGGGGTGAAGGTTTCCCGCTGCATCCCAACTTTGGAGCAGCGTGTAAGCAACAGGATCAGTATGGGTCTTCTCTCGTGCCTCCGAAGCATCACAACCACCGGGGGAATTCCTCAAATGATGGCCAAATTCTGTTGATGACCGAAACATGTCAACATCCGCCAATCTGTCCTACCAACGAGGTTTCAATGATGAAAGCGAGAGCTGCTTTGCACTTGGTGTGAATGGCTGTCTGTAGACATGAGCCTCGAAAAAATCAAGTCTGGCGCCCGGTGAGTTTTCTCGCAGATCTGTGGGGGCTCTCTGATTTCAGCTTGCTCACGATCAGCTCATTGCAAGGATCAAGGCTGGCCAGCTGGCCATGTGCACACAACTCATCTGTCATCCCTATACAGCTCAAGGCCAGATCACCGGGATTGGCCTCTGCAATATTTGGCTTGAAGGGTGGCGTTACCTGGGCGAGGACAAACCTGTACTGAGCCGCCACTCAGCCTCTCAGCTCATCTGAGGGTGCTGCTCTTCGCTGCTGGATGGCATTCCACTCGAGTCCCGAGAAGAATGGATGGAGCTTCACCTGCTATGTTGTGGCAGTCTGTTTTTTCGGTTTCTGATGACTCTCGAGGACCTCCTCCCCATCTTTCGGGCCCCCGCCAAGTCTTTTGGTAGGATCCTGAGCAGCAAGCTCTGACAAAGTCTGCAATTTTGATTCACAACTTCTTTGCTTGCAGGGACTCCTGCGGTGTCCAGCTCCTATGTACAGCTTCCCAGCTCTCAAGCACTCCTGAGGCCGAAAGCCAAGGCTTCAAATTCCCCTTGCAGTGCTCTCCTTGGAGCTCTGCGAGAAAGCTTCTCAGCCGCTGCGGCAGCGGCTCCGTCACTACGTGCCGCTGTCCAACGAGGTCAGTGAAGGTGAGACGGTACCGGTGGAGGAAATGGCCACCCGGCCATCCCACGTCTTGGGACCGTTGCTTGTTGTAACGTGCATCCCCAAAGACTGGAAAGCCCATGTGAGATAAGTGTGACCGGATCTGATGCATGCGACCAGACTCGATTCGTACTGCAAGGAAGGACACTCGCTGTTCCAAATAAGATAGATGGGCGAGGACCTTGATTCTCGTGAGGGCGGGCCGTCCGTGATCTGACACGACAGAGGTTCGACCCACCTTGCGCAAGCGGAAAGAGATCTCGCCATCTCGGGGCACCCAGCCCCAACAAAGCACCACATAATCACGCTCCAGGTCTCCAAGCTCACGCTGTGCTTGCAGCATGTAGAGCCCCTCAAAACTCGTAGCTTGCAGGATCAGCCCACTGGAAGGCGTATCAAGCCGACTAATGAAACCATGAACATCCCCTAGCCCAATGCCGAGCATGTGGCTGAAGCTCGAGAGCGCCTTTTCATGTCCGCCATCTCCCACGGTGTCCACTTCCCAGTCATGCGGCTTGAAGACCACCACTACACCGGGCACTTGCAGCACCACTCTGGGAATGCCCTCCTGGGCCTGAGGCTGGCGGGAAATTGATGGCGCCCCTCTCCTAGAGTCGTCCAGATCCTTGCCAAGCTTCCTAAGCCTGCCTGTGACGGCTGACAGGAAATCTGCACATCCTTTACGGTGTGCCCATACAAGCCCCAACAGCGAGTCCACGTCATGCACACCGGCCGTGCTCAACATTTTCTCTGCCAAGCTGACAAGATGCTCTTGCAGCGCATGATGCAGCCTGCCTTTCATGTCCAGAACTGCCCATGCCCAGCTAATGTTTGCAATCGCTTGCAAGCCTAGGTGATGTCGCAGCAAAATCTCTGAAGCCAACTTGTCCATAACGTCAGACCGTCTAACTCCCGCAGAAGCAAATGCCCAAGCGACTTGAGCCAGGTGATGATCCTCGAAGCCTTCAAAACTAGCGATCTCTACCTCTTGAAAGACAGGCACCGTGGCATCCACGTCTTCCATAGATGCCATCGCCCAGAGGCAGCTGCTGAACTCCTGGGGCTTAAAACTGCATGGCTTCCTCTTCATATAGCTCAGAACACTTCCCACTTCTTCGGCACTGAGAGGAAGTTGCAGCTTGGCCAGCGCCCACAGCGAGTTGGCTAGGGTCTGTGGGCTTGTGCTTCGCAAGTCAAGCTTGCGAAGTGAGGATGGCGGCGGAACCATGATCACGGCATGCGCACGTAGAAGAGCACTGGATGAGCGAGAAGTGTTCGGGAAGAGCTTCAGGGACTCACAAATGCTGGGCCAAATGATGCTGTTAACAACCCGCATCTCTGCAAGAGCCCAGGTAGAAGCAACCAATTCGCTTGTTGCCAAAGGCGTGCGGTTCTCCAGCTCCTTCAAGAGGATAGCCGGGATTGGCTTTCGAATGCGCGCAAAGGCCCAAACCACGTTGGACAGGTCCTGTGTTGTTGCTTGTGTCTCCGCAAGCTCATGGGCGCGGGCAAAGAGACTGTGCTGAAGACGAATGGATCCTGCACAAGGACAAGGGTAGCATGCTTAGCCATGCCTAGCCGGCATAGCCGCCTTAGCCGCCTTAGCCGCCTTAGCCGCCGTAGCCGCCTAGCCTACTGCTTTGGTCTTAGCCGTCCTGGCCTAATGCCCAGAGAGAACGAGCCAACTCTGCATTGCGCAGCTGATTCATCGCTTGCGTCATGACCCCTTTTTCCAACGCTGCTCGCAACACCTCTGGAGGAACGGTGCCCACAGCTGCAGCCCAAAGCAGGTTTGCTAAGGCAACCTTGGCTCTGACAACTCGGCTCTGCTTGAATGATGCCAGGTGCGGTTGAGCCACCGGATCTCCAGGACGGAAGTTCTGGTAGGATTTCAGCAGGACCTGCCTTGGACATTCAAGAGCTTTGCAAGGTACCCAGACTTCATTGCAATAGTCAAAGAGTCTCTCAGCAGCCAGCAGGAAATCAATGTCCAAGAGGTGGGTTTTGGCGTAGGCCCAGGCCGTGTTCCCAACGTCCCGGCTGGAAGTGAAATGGACCACGGGTCGAAGCCGTACCAGCACCCTACGACCTGCAAGCTGCAGCTCAAATACTTCGACTGGACACGGACTTTCAAAGCCCCCCCGCCTAATTCCGCATCCCACTGCTCACGGGGTTCTTCGGCAAGATGTTGCTTGCTGGAGTCTTTGTCCTGCATGTTGTCATCATGCAGAACACAACAACACAAGGGTCCGGGCAGTATTTGCTTCGTTGGAGAGGTCAGGCTCCTGGTTGATCTTCTTGCCTAGCAGCCAAACGACCCGGCAGAGCTTGGAAGCCTCCACAGTTCTCAGCTGCGACCTTTGATCTCCACTCCACCACTCCACTCCTATCAGCTTTATGCCTGCGAAGCCAAGCACTAATGGATACAGACAACGGACACATAACTAAGAACAGAAACACTTCTTGCTACTTGCCCTCTTCCAATGTCAGGGTCAGAGCACTTGGGAACGAGGAGTAGCTTCCAAAGCGTCTCTTGCGACGCCGTGCCACGGAGGATGCTGCGGCACAGGTCCATGCCACGGAGCCGCTTTGCGCATGGCGTTGCAAACGGAAATGAACTTCCGGGCTACTTGCCTAAACGGCTCGATTTGCAGGTACCATCTTCAATGCTCTCAATTTTGAACTTGCAAGTGCCCACCGTGGCTCCATCTCGCATGTAAGGGCCGGTCTCCCATGAGGAGCTGCTGCAAAAGGTTCTTGGCCTTGAAGGTTCGCGAGAACAGGAGGAGGCTCTTCTACTGCCACACCATTAAGGTCCCTGCGATGGAGGTGATGTAAGAGGGATACGTCAGGTCGCCGCGCCGGATTCGCTGGCGAGCAGGGAGACGTAACATGAAAACGTGGATGCGAGGGTCCTGTTCGCTTGAAATCAAACTGCAGGGGAGACCTCAAAGAGCTTGTCCCGGTCTCGCGTGTAGAACGGAGGCAACCTTACAATGCAAAAATCAGCAGATCACAAGCAAAATATGAATGAACACAAAACACCCCTTGGGGAGCGACCCGGTGAGCATTTCGTACATCAGTGCGCCCAACGAGTACCTACTGATTGACTGCATAATCTGCAACACAGCTGAAGGCCTTCGCGTGCATCCGGCCTACTGGGAAAGGGGGCTCAATTGATTTCTGATTCAGGCATCGCAGCCCGTGCCAACTCCACGCAGAACTGCGGTGGGGCACCAATCCACAGCCTTGCCGTGGCCCCTCTTGTCTAGAATCTCCGGTGCTAGGTACTCTGGGGTACCTCCGAAGCAATGGCACCATGCTTTAAGCCAAGCCTTTAAGCCAAGCCATCAACCAATCCAAGCTAGGGCATCGGCCGCACATAGACTTTGCTGAAAAATTATCCTGAAATGCACAATGCGGCTGTAATCGATCGCGTGTGTAAGTCGACGTAAAACTTCCTTGTTTGCATGCCAGACTTGAACAAGGCTCCTCAATTCCCTCCTTGCTCAGGCCGAAGTCCGTAAGCTTTACATGGCCTTGCGGCAGATTGCCACGCACCAAAGCAAATGGAAAGGTTGCCATGAACAAGAAAGATAAAGCAAAGCAGCACCTTCAGCATCTAGCAATATGTTCTCGGGCTTCAGATCTCGATAAATGATGTTGAGCCTGCGCATGGACCCGTTGCTTTTGAATGCTTTTGACTGGACTGGGAAAGCTTAGAGTGACTAGATGCAACACATCCAGTCGTCATAATGTAAGGCCCAAAGTGATGTTCACACCGCACGGCCCAACCGCAATGAGGCACCCGGAAATCTGTAGCAGGCTTCACGGGCCTATGCAAGTATTCAATCGCCAGCATAATTTCAGACGTATAGAACCTGGCAAGGTTCTGCGACCAAGGAACGGTCATCAGTCGCTGACAGCCGTGCTGAATAGATGCAATCCTCTTTCCTCTTGCTAGACTGCGTGCTTGCCCCGCTTGCACAGGAAACCAATGCAGCTGTGCCAGGCTCCCTCATTCGGGAGACAGCAAAGGTCAAGATTCTGCAAAGCGAAAGCTCCACTCCATTCTTGGACCTTGTGAGCTATGCGGATGCTAGCTAGCGCAGCCGAAACTGCTTGCAATGTGAGGTCATTACTTCTTCATGAATGGATTGGAACGGGCTGCTGAGATGCTCACTCTCCAGCCCTGGAAAACCTCACTTCTGCTTGAAACACTCCTAGTCAAAGAACTGGGTCAAACATGTTCAAACTAGTCTTAAAAGCTATGTCGAGTCCAAAGCCGTTGAGCCATGCAAACACTTGCTGTCTCAGGAAAACACAGATCAGAAATGAAGGAAAACGCTCTGGCAAGAAAGGACTCGAGCAGTGGGGACGCTAACTGGTAGAAATATGTAGAAATCATTCGACCCCGCTTTGCGAGGTGGGCCCTGCTGTCTGCACAACGGTTGGGTGCCAAGGGATGCTCTGAAATGTGGCAGGTCAGCTCTGTCTTTACCTGACCTGCTGATCCAGTGCAATTCATCTGGGGCACATCTTCGGCCTCTCGAGACTACCGAACCTGGCCCAACGAAAATGCATGCAGCGACGCCAGGTCTCGCGCGACATTCCTAAGTTCCGAAACGGAGGGCCAACGGCGAACTGAATTAGAGGTCACGCTTCAAAATGGCGAGCTCTGCCCGACACAATCCTTGCTGGGGGTCGACGCTCTGAGAAAACTGCAACAACTGTCTACGAGCGCAGGACATTGAGCAAATTCACAATTTCTTTGGAGCTAAAAGATTTAGCAAACCGTCTTGCACCGTGTGTCACGGAAAGTTGAACTGCAGGCGTCTGCTACATTCTGCCTTTACGGTAAATGCTGAACATGCTCAAATCAACATCGGCCCCATTCCGTGAACAGAACCACACACATGTCAGGTTTATTTGCTGCGCTGTTAGGCAGTTGCCACTGTGCTTCAGGCAGACTGTGCTTCAAGACTTCAATGGGATTGAATCTTGTCTCCACGATCTACATGCTATTTGTAGACCATAAGAATCCTACCATGGAAGCGCATGGCATGCAGGGAAAAATCATGAAGCATTACCCTTCGGGTGGTCAATTGATTCAATTGATGCTGCAAGCACGAGGAAGTGCCTCTGGAAGGGCAGCCAGCATACGTATGTTGCATGCCCGCGGAAGAAATGCATATCCGTCAGATCCTTCTGACAGCGGAAAACAAGCAATTCGAGGCCACACCGCATGAGTCTGCCAAGCAGCCCAGGCACAGCCAACTAATCTACCTTGCTATTTGCGAAAGCTCCTCAGTCTCACAAACATCTTCTGACGGCTCAATGCGTGCGACACACAAGAATGAGGTCCACAAATGTACCAGGCAGCCGGCGCAAGTGCAAAGCCTCCACCCACTCCCACTCTCTCCCCTCTCTCACCCACTCCCCCTGCCCCATGCGCGCAGGCCACCGTGCCAGAAGCCATCAACTAACCATTCCTCCTTGGCACCCCTCTGCTCCCTCAAACATGGGTACATGCACCGGTGTGTTCGGCTTGTCGGGCAGTCTTGGGGTTCGGGGTTTTGGGGTCAGGTGGCAGTTCAGGTTGCACTTACGCTTGCTGGGCCTGCAGCAATGGCTTTCAAGTTTCAGACGTCCGGAAACAGTCCGTGTGCCTAAGCTGAAACAACGGCTTGGCGTTTCTTGAGCAGACGTCTAGCACTTTCTTTTGTGTGGTACTGCCGCCTGCCGGTTGACATGCGCGAGCCAGGCCAAGGCCATGAGGATCGGCAAGGTGCTCTGCGCTATCAAGTCCGTATAACTGCTTCAAAGCATCACCATCCTCCCCTCGGCCAAGATGTGGAGCCCTGGCATTTGAGCCACGTAGTTGCCTCCCTTCTCCGCGTTGTCCCAACCTGAGTCGCAAGATTCATAAGGCACGCATCGAAGAATCGTGACACGCAGGACTTTCTAGCACTGGACTATGAGGGCACTGTCAGCGTGGACCTCATTGATGTGAACGCTTGTTGCTTTTGCACTCAGCTTCAGCATCTGAACAGCACCAAGGAAATTACGGAACTAGAGGCGACCAGCCACAACACCAGAGGACCGCAATTCTAGAAATGAACCAGTTCAAGGCAAACCTCACTCGGAGAAAACGGTGGGTGCCAGTTGAACCCGCCAATGGGGACATAGGACACACGGAGCACATGGAGCACGGTAGTGACTGACTGTTGTGAAAGAGCTGCCTAGTGACTAGTGTTTACAGGGGTTGTGGCCAGGCTACACGAGCCTCTGTCGTTCAGGACAAATTCCATGGCACTGTTCGCATTCACTGGGATATCGATTCGCCACCACCTGCCATGGCTATTTGGCCTCGGGATCTTCGAGCCTTGGCAGATCATGCAATAGGAAGAACTGGCAGAATCATGGCATGAGCTCCATGCCGAGAAACCTCGGCATTTAATACAAAAGACGTTGATCCACTCGGGGCAACCTGAAAAGGCTGTGTGCCATCATCCGAAATCTGCACTCTGCCTACATCTGGCATTAGCATGGCCTCTAATGCTGGGCTTCTCAGACTTTCGAAGAGGCCAGCCAGGACTTTCCGTCCACAACTTGTCGATGGCAAAATGAATGTGGGGCGCTTCCCAGCCGGAGTAATAAAAGAACCTGCGGCTCACAAAAGTAAGTGGCGTAACGAGACAACAGAAAATCGGAAACCAAGCCGGTCACAGAGTCAGAGCAGCATCACACGTGCCGCTGAGCAGCGTCATGTAGTGCAGATCTGGATTTACAACCCTGACTGGTCCGGCAGGGCATTCCAGCAAAAAGAATCGTGCGTCTTTGGACCTGATATGACGGTCCAGATCCCACATAGAGCAACCAGCCTGATCAGGTCACAGGTCTGATATGGTCTGATTCTGTGTGTGGTGCCCAGCGGAATGATTTCTACTGCTTTAGCTGGGGATTGGCCTGCAGAGCTTCACAGGGCGGCGTAGGCGCCCGAACCTCTTGCATGCTGAAGCCCTCGAGGCCCCAAGGCACGTCAAAGTCCATGCCCCGGGAGGAAACGTTGAACACCGCAAGTCCGATTGGACAGTCAGCAAGCGTGAGCAGAACTTGGATAGTGTGGTACTGGGGAGGAGGCCAAGCCAAGATCTCACACTTGAGGGTGTACGGAGCAAGCGCAGATCTGAATGCCAGTGCCGCATGAACCAACGGGGAGTCCGTGTCATCCTGATGCAGCAACACAGTCCCTTCACTTCGGGCGACCAGATAAGCCCAAGCAAGGGAAGCCTCTTCCGCACTGGACCAATCAATACCACAGATCGCAGGGCCGTCATTGAGCATGGTGTCGTGGTTACGCACAAACTGAATGGAATGGTTTCCCAAGTGCTCTGTGGCAAGCAGCTGCGAGACAGTTCCTCCAGCATCCCTACATCGCCATGCTTTCCTGATTGCTGAGGCTAGATGAAAATCAGTGGACGGCAGGCCCTTGCCAAGCTTCTCGTATTCTGAATGCAGATGGCGATCCATGGAGAGGACTTCGGTGTAGACGAATGCTCCCTCCCGCTGTACGTAGTCAACGTACCGTGCAACATGCGAAGGTCGCATATGCTTCGCTGCATCAAGCCGAAAGCCACTGACGCCACAGTCCAAGAGTTGCTGAAGGTGCTGAAGGTGCAAGTTAACAACCTTGTCACTGAAGCGTAGCTCACTCCACTCGCCACAGCCCCATCCTTCGAACATGTAGTTGGGGTCATCCCACTTGTGACCTTCCAGGCACACCCAGGGCCACTGAAAATCGTTCCGATTCAATGCCGGCCCAAAAGTCTGGTCCAATCTGCGTTTCAGCTCCTCCATCTTCCCATGATCCTGTTGAGCTTCACGCCACTCACGGCAGGAAGCAACCACAGCCATGTGGTTGAAGACGCAATCCGCAATCCTTTGTACATTGCAGGTGTGATAGGGATTCAAAGACACTCAAACATCCTCATCCATCACTCTTCTTTTACACCAAAGGTCACCATGATCCGCATGTTCGCAGCATCCTCACAGAGCTGCTGCAGGCCCTCGAAGCCGCCTAGATCCAAGCCACATGTAACATCGTGTAACAGCTGTAGCAGCTAAAGCTAAGCCACCTGGCCTAGCGCAGGATCGATCACCAAGTGGTTCACAGGCTGGTACCGAAGATACCAGCGAGAACGAAGGTCACCTGGTAAGTAGAAAATTCTGCGAGCAGTGAACGAAACCATGCTGTTGCAGAACGACCCCCAACCCTTTGTTTTTCTGGGCCCTCCTTTTCAACCCCTCTCAGTTCACCTGAGGGCACAAAGAATGGAATGAAAGATTCTACGAGGTTTGGCTTGAAAATTGGCCCCCTTCTTTATGATAAACCATCCCGATACAACATCTCATCCAAATAGATCAGGGAAAGTCCAAACCGCACCTGATGGGCTCAGCTGAGCCGGGGGGATCTGAACTGCATCGAAACCCTTCCAGGCCAGCTCTGGGAGAAGTTGGCCTCAAGCGGACGGAAAATGCAGTGGGCAACGACAATCAACAAATCCCAAACCTGGTAATTTGCGATGCTGAGAGGCGAATCTCTTCAAAGGACATATGCAAGGCGTGAAAAATTGTACGTGGCTGTGCAGGGCTGTCGCTCCTGGACCTGAGTAAGGTGGGCTTTCTGAAAAGGCGACACTTGGGCAGAGCACTGCCAAGAAGCTGTTCACTCATCATCTCTTCGATGTCATTGTCGCCAAAAGCGGTCTCTTCAGTGGTCTCAGAGCGATTCGAGTCCTCCCGGAGATTCCAATTGTGGGTGATGGGCCGCGTCAGGCTGTCTCAGGCTGTCTCAGGCTGTCAGGCCTGGCTTGAGGGCAGAAAGAAGTTCCACCACGAGCTTCTGCGAGTCTGGCCCTTTAACTCTTCATCATTGGCCAGATCGAAGTCCAAACCCTAAGGTTTTCAAGGCATTGGCACAAGACATATGTTCTGAAATCCTGTGGCTGGATACGGCAGCTCAGACTGCAACTGATCGCAGAGGCCATCCTGCAACATTCCTGCAAACAGCTCACGCGAATTTCCAATTACAACCGACTTGGTCAATCTACCCGAGATGTTTACCCCTCTGCACATGCCACAGGCCTGTTGCTCACGACCTGCATGAGCCAACATGTGGCTTTCTCATTGTGCAAGCCAAACGATCTACGGCCTGGTAGCTGGACTTTGGCACCTGCAACCAATTTCAGGTGTCCACGGGTGAGCACAGACACAGCTCCAAAGTCTATGGCCGAACCTTCAGGGAGCGGCGCCCGCACTTGCGCTGCAGCCAACGGATAAAGCCCTTGAGGCACAGGAACACCATGGCACAGACTGCCTAAGCCACTATGTTAGCGTCAACAGAGGAGCGGAAGCTTTAGCCCAGCAACCTTTGTCAGTGATGTTACTTTAAGTAACCATGTAACCAATGTGCAATAGCCATAAGATGGCATGCCTGGGCTGAAAAACTGTTACTTGGAAGAGACTCTGCTGCTTCCTGACCTGTGGGTTTGGTTTGATCCACATCCATTGCAAGGCATTGCACGCGCAAGTGCAAAAGCAGACATGTGACTCAGCATGACCAGGCATGCCATCATGGCCAAGTGATGCGCCTGCAGCGGCCTTCTGAGAAACGCCCTGCCCGGCTGAGGTGGAAAAAAAGCTCCCCGCCAGGACCTGATTTAGCAAGCAGTTCATAGCTTGCAGGGCCTTCGCCAGCTATCTATCAATGCGAAGCTTGAAAGGACAAGTGTCGTTCGCAACCTCCATCAATTCGTTACCTCCGTCAACCCTTGGACAGGAATCCGCTGAGGCCGGGAGGCTGAATGCAGCAGCCCAACTCAATTCCCCGCGGGCAAGTCGCTTAGGCCAGGACAGTACTCAAGCACAAAATACAGCCTGCCAAAGCCAACGCGAGATTCAGAGCTCTGCAAGTGCTCCGCAATCAGGCCAAGGTCTGCACTTCTTTGGAGTCTGAAAGGCGTAGTAGAGCGTCACGATGAACGGATGGGACACTGCCTGCAAATGCTGAGAAAACCCCTCTGCGAGGTATGAAGAATCCTTGTAGAGTGTTGCCGTGCCTCCAAAACATTTCTCTCCGTTTTCGTGTGCTCTACCTGGTTTCGTTTTATCACGTTCTCCTGCCAGGCGCGGTCACTAACTGCAGCAGCTGATTGTGATATGTATCTAGAACATCTGGGACCACAAGGGGCGCCTTTCGGAGCATCTTCATTGCATAGACATGATCCTCTCCTTCGGCTTTGTGCCTTACCAGCATCACCTGGGCACAATTAGATTCGATTCGGCCATCCTTCTCGCGAAGCTTTTCCGTGCCTTGCCGTAGGAGCCCTTGCCAATGACCTAGCAGCTCCAGCAAGGACAAAAACTCAGAGTAGGTGTGAAAGGGCGGCTCGCCTTCATCAGAATAAAATCATCTAGGCTCGGAGAGCCGGGAGGCATGGCTAGGCCTTCAAAAACAATCAGTACAAGCTCGCTTCTCAGCTTCAACTTTTCTCCTGGCGAGAAAACTGCCTCGAAAGTCTCGTCCGTCGAAATCCGGACGTGAATAACATGAAAGGCAGATCCGAATCTATTGGAGCCAAGCAGATCAATGAGGCACAGCATCCACGGCAACAGCATAATAATAATACTTTCTGACTCCTGGCAGCAGCAGCCGCGCGACTTTTGTCGCTGCCAAGAACGAAGCCACCATGTTGGCGGGCCACGTAGTCTGCATAAATCATTTAGCTTACAAAGCAGACGGCTGCAGGAAACAGAAGTCCGTAATTCTTCCTCATCATACCCATGCGAGTCTGAGCAGGACTTGCTCGTTGCAGAGATTTGGTATGTTCGAGGTGCTTCTTCCAATAATTCAGCTGCAGCTGTCCAAAGGGCATTATCCAGCTGGCATCAAAGCTTAATTTGCCAGCTCAGCTACACCTTGAGTATGTTCTTCTGGGCAGACGCCCTGCTCAGCAGCAGGCCTGAAGATGCTGGCGCACAGCTGGCTGACATACGCCACATCTGCACTTCCAAAGACACCGGGAGCCGGGCTGTACGAGCCTCGCAGAGTCTCCAGGGCCTGCATAGGATTCTCACCACATACACAAAGAATGCAAAGAAATTGCATTCCATGAACTGAGAGCTCTGGCCTTGTCACAAGCCTCCCGCCGTGATCTCTCCCAGCGCAGCTCTGAGTGCAGTCGTGCCACCAGAGCTTCATACTCTGCAACCTGCCATCTGAGAAGATTACTGTGCTGCCGGGGTACCATCTCATCTAGAGTTCTTCGAATGGAAAGCCTCATCCAGCTTGTAAGGCTCTTCTGATTGCAACGCCCAATCTGAATCAATCACCTCGGGGAGATGAGAATGGCTGTTGCTGCGACAAGCTGGATCAGCATCTTGATTGCATGCCGACTGCTGAATGCTAAGTGCGCCTGGCCGGCAAACATGTCGCTGCTTGCAATGCAATAAGCGGGGTTTGGTTCCTGGCTCGAGGCGTAGCTTCTGGACTTGCTGCAAAAACGAAACCACGAAGAGTAAGTTATCACTGCTCTTGTGTTCCACCCAGTTCACGAGGCCTGAGGAGATTGCAGCCTCTTAGCTGCAGCATGTAGCCAAAGCCTCGGCACTTGGAGTCACTTGCCACAAGCCTGCTTAGGAGCTACTATCTCAAGTCCGGGCTCATGCATGGCGTCAGCGATGCGTCTGTTGACCAGCTGCCTCAGACCCATGGCCAAGGCACCACAGGCGTGGCGCAGGACCACTTCAACACCCTGCTCCTGCTCAGGCAATGCAAGGGCAGCATCCGATCCGGATCTTTGGTACGCAGACTCAGCATGTCTCAACATGCCTTGGCTTGCGCCAAGCCCCGACGACTGTTGGCCCGCAAAGTGGCATCGCGCCAGGAGCGGAGCACGCAGAGCATCAGGTAGTACCTGACACAAAATGCTATCCAGGCCTGGACTCCAAACCAACACGCCCAACACGTCGTTCTAAGAGGGAATGCGTCGAGTCACTGCTTGCATCCCTTGGCAGAGTAGAGTGCTGCTCGAAGGCGCTCGGTAGCAAACGACTCCTGCTGCAAGATCTGCTCCTGCGTTGGGGCTTGATTCCCAGGTTGACAGGTTTTTGAGAATGAACAACCTGGCCTTGTACTTCAAAAGCTGCAGTAAGTGCAAGCGCTCTGCTTCACGGTCTTGCAGCTCGACTTCCATCTCCTCCCGCATGTTCAGATGCCGCATGATTAGAGCTAGTGTGCTTGCGGGCCTTGACCTCCTGCGTCTGCTTCGCAAGCAGCCGCCGCAAGCGGAGTGCAGCTTGGGCCGAGGCAGACATTCCCTCAAAAGTGCAAGTGGTCTTGCGGTGCTGAAATGTGCCGAACACTCACTGTCCTGCCTGCTGCACCGCCATCCCGCCCAGGGCCAGATTGACTGGTCCGAGAACAAAGCATCAAAAAATGCTCATCCAGGAGTAGAGTGAGTGACTCCATCTGGATCGCGTTCTTTGCATGATGCAAGTGTGTCCAAGCCTTTCTGGACAGCTGCTTAGACGTCTTGCACCTTCCAGTTGCTGAGCCTGTAAAATTTACTGTTGAAGCACGGAGGTTTGCTGGAGCATGGTCTGCGTCGCCCGGTTGCATTCCCACACCCTTGTTTGGCCAAATGACCGAGCAGCTTGCGAAAAACAATCTGTCTCATCTAATGCAATGCTTGCCATAGAGGCTGCATCAACCGGCGGCTGCACGAAAGTCAAGCACTCCGTGCTGCCACTAAAGGAAATGTACAGTAAAACAAAACAGCATCATCCTTGAAGGAATTGCTGCGCAAAAGGAGCGATCTTTGGTGTGACTTGGGTGTTCTTACAGAAAAGGCTTTGTGATGCCTCCTTCATGTTCACTTACTTGTTGTCACACCATGCAGGAGTCGCCCGCACTATGGAATGAGGTGAGCTCTTTGGCTTAGCTGCAGGAAGAGCTGCGGTTCAGGATTCTATGGATGCCTCCACCCGGCTCCCAGAGTTTCCACGTGCCATGCTAGTCAGACACGAGTTGTACCATGTCAGCATGTCCCAGGGCAACTGCGTGAGTACAGCAGCGTCGGCGACAGAAGGATGTAGTGCCTGCGACATGACATCTCTTGTGCAGGCAAAAAATCGAGAAGTGCAGAGCTGGGCGCACCCGAGCGGCCCAAGGAAGGTTGTGAAGACAAGGCACACGAGCAACTGGCAACAGGTCAAGGGCAGCACTTCATTTGATCTCATGTCACCTTTATCTTGTGAAAACATGTGGCAGTTTGCCCTGGTTCCAAGGAAACAGGGCAGGCAAACGATGACCGCAACTACCAGAAGTCCGGTTGGATCCTCAGCAAGAGGGTTTGCACGATTTCGGCCGAGATACCACGGCACTCGCTCACAACTTGAAGGTCTGTGCATGTCTGAGCAGACTAAGTTCTGGTCCCAGGTCAGCTTGTCGCAAATGCTCATGGTCAGCACGGCCACCTCACCGGGGTGTGTAGTCAAAGTGGCCAGCTGCATGTCTTTCTGAGCCCGAGACATGATCTCGGAAATAGAAATGGAAAACATACGCGCCCAGCGTAGTGTTTCCCCACCTGCAAGTAGCAGTCCAGCAGAACCGATAGCACAAGCCTCTGGAACTGCGCAAGCATCACTAATAAGGACAGAGCCATGCGAGGTCAAGAGGCACATAGGTCATCCCCAGCCTACAATGCTCCAAGATGTTTCAAACTCTAACCAAAGACGTCGCCCAAAACAAGGGAAAGCTGACACGAACAACGTAGGCTGAAGGATGTCGACACCGATCTCCAGCCAAGCCCAGGCCTCAGAGAAAATTCCGACAGAACGACGTAAGGTCACACAGGAACCTCACAGAAAGGAGATGATGATCTGATGGCACAAGGACACATAATATCCATGTGTTTCTTGTTATTTCTCTGGGCTTCGAACCATGCCAGTGCCGTTTTCCAGGACGTTGTTGGGGTAGTGGAACCTGCACCAGCCACACTCTGAGCATAGCACACGGGAATCTCGCTCTAGCTTCCAAAGATGTGGATCTGGGTCATCTGCAGGGCCATTACCACCTGGCCAGAACAATCTTGGTGTGAACAAATTTATTGATTTGCTGAACACCTGAGAGGCCGGCACCAATGAACATGCTCGAGCCAAGCGCAGCAGCCGACCAGGTTGGGCCCTGGCGTGCAGCTTGCGCAGCAGTTTGCGGAACTCCTGGCTTGGAGCGCCTTCGGGAGCCTCTTGGACAGGAGCGCCACTGCTGGCCTTCAACTTTGCACCCATGGACATCCCTTCGGATGCCAATTTATCAAAAAAATCCTCCCTTGACCTGGGCACCCATCTCTCTGTGCTCCATGTAAACTGCATTCGTTCACGTAACATTGAAGCATTTGCGCGGTAACATGTCTGTCTGAAACAACCCCGCCACACCGTATCTGGCTTAGCACTACTACTACCACCACTACTGCTACTGCCACGAAGCCGACCACCACCACCACCGCCGCCGCCGCCGCCGCCGCCACCACGACCACCACCCCCGCCCCCGCCCCTGCCCCCGCCCCCGCCCCCGCCCCCGCCCCCACCCCCACCCCCACCCAGAGAGAGAGCTCAAATCGAAAGTTCCGTAGTACAATCCCTGCTTGTTCAAGACCTTGGTTCAGAGAACGGTCAGCCCAGGTGACATATTTAGCGATGCTAGCCTGCTAGCAGCATGACTGCAACAGGCACCTCAGGTAGTGGTAGCTCCACACGTAGAAGGCAAGATACCTTGCTAGTGGCAGAGGCTTTGAAATCCGGACTGAGTGGACCACTTGGCCGAGGCACCAGGACACCCAGCGCATATACATGGCACATCCGGTCCCGAAGTTGCGGAAAATCCACCTTAGACAACATCGCATGCCGAGCAGGCAGGTGGCACAGACCCTTTCCGCCGCAGATGAGCTGCGAGAAAGTCCACATCACGTAGACCTGGGCCTGAGCTTGGGTTGGATGGAGAAAGTTGTCAATCAGCAAACAAGCTCCACAACCATACAAGGACCTGAGTTCCTTATTCCCCACGCCTTGGATGTCGCTATGCGTTGCCTTTGACTTGAAGCATGAGCGTTCTTAACACCACGGAGGCTTGCTGGGCCGGCCCTGCCCTTCAGCTACAGTACGTCCCTCGTAGGCCACCTTTAAGTCGCATTTAGGAGCTCAAGTCACGGCTTTGGGGCCTGGGCTTTGTAAGGGTATGCAGGCTTGAGCTGTTTTTCAAAGCCTCTTTTTCCCGATCGCTCATCGAAAAGTCCACCAAGGTAGACGCAGTCCAGTATCTCGAGGGTTTAGGATTTAGAGTTTTCAAAATAAGGTGTTGGGCTTAAGGTGTTTGAGCGACATTTTGAAGTCTAACTGCGAAGGGTACCGGCCTTGAGGATGAAAGGCCTAAAGGTTTTCGGCATGGGCTCTCGAACCCCCCAAACCCCCAGAGTCTGATTTCAGGTGTCTGAGGTTGGGGGTTCAAGTAGCGTGGAGGGCTTTAGGTCTTGGGGTTTGGGGAGCTTTCTTTTGAGGTCAAGCGTTTGAGAGCCGTAGGATTCAAGGCTCGTTGTTTTCAGCTGTTGGTCTGAGGGCTTTACCGTTTCAATCTTTTGGGCCGCTTAGGAGACAAGGATCCTAAGCAATTCAGATTGAGGGCTATAGGATGCTTTAGCTAGGGTCTTCGGATTTGGTTTTCCACGAGGCGCAAACGTGTCCGTGTCCACAAAGTTTACATTCGAACCACACTAGAGGAACAGGTGCCCCTTGCTAGTGTTGATCGCTCTGTTCATTTCTTGCTGGCTAGAGTGCTGGCTGCAACTGTGGACAGAGCGACGGACGGCACGAAACCAAACAAGGAGCTCCATCACTCAGCGTTCACCGTACGTCACCATGAGCCCATGGCGTTTTGGCTCTCGCAGACATCGAAAGTGAATGGCCGCCGATCGGGGCCTGATGAAACTCTAGCAGAGTGGCCCCAGTCTTGGACTGACTGGCTGCCTTCAAATGAGGAATCAGGTAGCAGACACCTGGGATCATAGCTACGCGAAAGAGAGACGTACTGCAGCTGAAAGATATAAACCAGATCGGTTTCCTACGGGATGGTCGCGAGGATGCCTTGCACCCAGCCCGGAACCTGCAGCTGACGCTGCATTGCGCCATGCAGCAATGAAGCAGTGAAACTGCGCAGCCTGAATGCGCTCGCAAATCTCCAGGAACAGCCTGGCCTAAGTGGTTCGGTTGAGAAGGGGGCATACTACTCCACACACGTTTACCAAGCTGCGGGCACAGAAGACCATTCCTAAATACCACCTGTGATCCGATGTGTAGGAGTTCACCTGCCGCAAAGGATGGCCAGCCACAGCGGCCACAGCGAAGCCTAGCATGCCCAGCCGGACCTGCATGTAGCTCCAGCCCCACTCGTTAGTTGGCACCATGCCACCTGGAACTGTGCTTGATGAGAAGGAACTGACGGCAAAAAGCCAAGCCACCCCAATCGATAGGCCATGCCCACTCGCGGAAGATGAAGTGCAAGATCTGTGGGAAAGGCATGGCCTCAAGTTCGCGAGGAGACCCACGTGTCCGCAGATCAGCATCCAGACATCTGCAAGGCCTAAGGCACCAACCATTGCCATGTAGACGATGAACACAAACACATCCTCCCAGCACTGATCAAACATGAAACCCACCCAGGCGCGCAGGGCAGGCGCGGTCCTTCATTCCAAACTTCACCCGGGGAGGGCCGCCTGGAGTGGCTGGCCGGGAGTCCTGGTAGGCTCCCAGCATGATGAAGCCTCGTTGAAGCAGACACAGACAGACGAGCACTGTGTAGCTATGCGTAGTTCTGTGTGGCTTTAGTCTCCGACCAAACAAATCCTGATCGTTTCCCAGAGAGCGGACAAGGATCTCCGACCAGGGCTTGACGGCTGTCCTGCGCGACCGGTCAGCCGCCAGGACCCTGGCAGACTACATGGATATGGTCGTCCTTGCCAGCGTCGTGCAGAAAGGATAGTATTTGTGGGAGGAGTCTGTATCGATGGCACAGCCTCTGCTTCAGGCAGAAGGTCAGGAAACAGCTCTGAGGATGAACGCCGTAGACCTGTGCGTTCTTGATATATGCGTCCGTGAAACGCATGTAGTGATCCGTTAGAACGCCGATCATCCACCACCTCAGCAGCTGTGCTAATGAACATGCCATCTGCGTCTGCACTAAACATAGGCAGTTTAACAAACTGCAGTGGCTATTGGAGGTGGGCAGATTCAGATTGGGATATCAAGATGTAGACCTGGAAAGGCGGAAAGCCGCATTTGGAAAGTCAGAGAAGTACTAGCTCCAACACGGTGGGGCAAACATGGGCAAACACAGCTGGTCGGACTGGCTGCAGAGGCTAAGCAGCCAGCTTCCCAGGCTTAATACGAATTGACTGTGCAACATCTGCTGGTTATTGACAGGCATTGGAAAATTAAAACCTCCAAAGACACTTTCCGCTAGTCTTTTGCCTTGAGTATTGTCTTTCACAGTCACGCACATGTAGGCAATGTAGGCAGCCTGCCGAGGCTGGCGGCCTCGGCGGCCTGGGGTGTCTTGATCTAGGTCCAGGGAAGCAAGTATGGTCACCCACATCACCCACCCCCTAGTTAGCCCCCTCCCACACTGCCACCCCAAGATTGGCACTACGCATTGGCAAGTGTGTTCTTTGCTCGTTTTTAGGAGTGGGTAGCGGGTCCCTGCATTTGGTCGGCTGGATGTGGCCTCCTCCAGGTCGGGGGGCGGGAGGGGCTGTTCGTGCTTAATTTTGCCTCAACCCCCCCCCCTCTCTGGGCCCCCCACCCTTACAGCCTGAATTCAGACCCACTCTTGTTTGGCAACAGCGCTGCAACGGTCATTTGATGCTAAGAACAGGTGTGCCAAAGGACCAGGAGATTTCCCGCTGAAATATGGCCATCTTCTCGCATTCAAAATAAAGCCAGGATAAAGGTCTCGAAGTGTTCAGTGTGTTTTCGATCCCCTGCCTGATCTTCTCCACCCCTTTGGCGCCTTGTCTTGCCCGGATTGTGTTCTTTTCGGTTGAAGGGTCAGCCGCCTCCCCGTCACGGCATCCTCACCTGTTCAGACACCTGCAAGTAGCTGCCACCTGATGGTCCAGGTGCCCTACGCATAGCACCTGTGAATCACCTGACAGCACCAGACTCATTTGATTGCGACGAGCGCAAGCTCATGGTACCTGGTTCTCGAAAATGGCCCACTTGGACAGCTTCTTCATTTGTCCCAAGGAGTCCATCACAACCTGTGCCCGCATAGCATGGTGCAAAGAACTCAAGATCGAAGAGAAGTTGACAGCCTCGCCCTCCTCCACCACATGGTCTGTGGCCATCTGTGCCAGCTGCTTTAAGTTGGACCTCGGCAGTGGGTGCAACTCGGACTTCACCGGCAGACGAATCCAAAGTACCAGGCTTTCCGTTTGGTAGTTTGGGAAGCTCAGGCAGGATGACAAAGAACCTGCAAAAAATGGATCGCCGCTTCTACAGCTGAATGTGCTGAGATTGAGTTCCAAGCTTCGGAACGTAAGACGGCGTGAGGTTCGCCTTTCGTGGGCACTCTTACAGCAGCTTCCGGAAGTTCAAATCGTTGGGGCATGAAGCGGAAGCAGTCCCTTTGGATCTGGCGCTGCCGAGACAGGAGCTCCGCAGCCAAAGTGCACTGTGTTGCACAGTGCAGTGAAAAGCTATTAAACACTCCTGCCCTCAAGGAGTCACTCGGCAGCTGTTTCCTTACTCCATCCAGATGCTCACATGTCTCACGCTCAGGATGATGGCTGGTGAATGCTCAAGTGCAATAATGCTGTACATAGAAGCCGCTTGCAAAATCAAGCAACCTGAATAAGGTCAAGTCTCAGCTGCGCAGCCATTATCAACGTTGGCCCCTCACGAAGTCTGTTTTTGACAGCGATCAGCGTAACACGTTGAGTTTCACAGTAATATTCGTAACAAGAATCTGAATCAGCAACATCCCTCAGCATTGCCCATAGTGACTGCTACATCTACACTGTCGCGGGCTAATAACGTTTTGTGTTGGCATGCGTCTTGCCTCACAAAAATGCACTTCTTGATGTGATATCACGTCTCGCTTGTGTCCACATCTCGTTTCCCTGCGTCTGGGACTAGCATGTCTGTACTGTGTAGGTTGTTGCCTGATAAGTGTCGACGTGTTACATTCGATTACTAGTTGAAGTGGGGTATGTGTCTAGGGTTTAGGCTTTGGGTTGCTTGGGGGTTTAGGGTTTTAGGGTTGGGATTGTTGAGGGTTTGGGGCTTGGGGTTGTTTAGTGTCTGGGGCTGTTTATGGTTTAAGGCTTGGGTGTGCTTGGTTGAGCCCGAGGCTGGATGCTGGAGCCCACAAGCCTCTAAAGTGCTGCAGGTTTTAGGGTTGTTCAAGGTTTAAAGGGTTCAGGGTTGTTTAGAGTTTGTTGCTGCTTAGGATTCATGCTGTTTACATATGATTTCGGCGGGTTTAGGGTTGTTCAAGGCTGCTTGGGGTTTGCCAGCACTTTGAGCTGGACTGATTAGGGTTGAGAGTCCACACATCGAGGCCGGAGTTTGAAATTACGCACCGCCTGTCAGTGATATGAGTTCCCACCCCGCCTCCCTCACTGGATGCCACCCAACAGTTTAGGCCTCACCAACCCACCCCCTACCCCTGTGGCGCCTCAAGCAGTTCAAAGACTGGCCCTTGAGCCTGCGCTCCTGATTCTCTGATTCGCGATGCCTCGCAGCCCACAAAAGCCTTCCGAAAAGACCGCGGAGGCCCGAGTGATTCAATGCCAGGGTACACCTTCGGAGCCTTGGGATCTCCGAAATAAAAACGGCCCTTGCCACGGTCTTTAGGGACTGGTTTGCCATAGCAAACAAGTTTTTCTAGCAGCTCGGTCAGGATACGAAAACTAAAACCTCAAAAAAGCACTGCGTCTGCCACGTTGTTGCGGTTTCAACAGTATCCTAAGCAGCAGCAGCAGCAGCAGCAGCAGCAGCTGTAATAGTGCCGCTGTTGTTGAGGTTGTTGTTGTTGTTGTGGTTGTTGTTGGCGCTGCTGCTACGCCTACTACACCCACAACCGCCAACACGACGATGACCTCTGTTGGATCTTGATTGGGGCCGTCAACGGTCTATTCGTAACACAATTCCCACCTCACCGTGGTCTTGCGTGCGCCAGCGCTCAGACGCTGCCTCTTAGCTGTGCACAAGCTGGTCGATTGGCTGTATTGGAATGGAAGAGCAGCGAAGTCCTACGCCAGACATGATACAGCAAATTCTGAAAAAAACGTTAGCTCAGTGGAGAAAAAGCTTTCTGAGCACTTCCAGCTGTAGATCCCCACATCACACAGGTGCTACAAGCTTAAATCACTGGCTCTCCAGGGCCATGAGAAGCAGGAGCGAGCAATCCACAGCCAATGTTGCCACATTCCCGAAGATGGACACTCATTGGCAGTCATCCAGAGCAACCCCAATTAGTCGTGGGACGTAGTGAGTCGGCAACACCAGTTAGCAGCAAATCCTGACGCAGAGAGAACTTCATGAGCTTTGCAACAAACGCATACCAACAATTTGAGAAGAAGGAATGTGGCCGAAGAACGGCACACATAAAGGCATGTGGCCAACGGGCAACACACAAGGTGCACTGTCCAACATGAGGTGGATGGGAACCGCGCACCCATGTAGCTGTTCTCCGCAAACTTCAGCCGATGTATGGTACACGGCAAGTCTTGTAGGCGGCTTCCCCCGGACCTTGCGGATAGGCCGGCGACACTCACACCACGAGGAGCAGATGTTGATCTGGTCAAAAAACCTGTTACCCTTACCACTCCTCGCCCCGGACTTGGGATCGGGTCGGCTCGTAATTTGTGGCCGTTTGCTGCATACACAATACACGTCAATCAACGACCTCCATATACATGGCACCTGAGCTCTGTCGGCACGAGGCTTTGTTGACGGAACAGCTGAGGCCCCTGTTGCTTGTCTCTCGCTAAGCCTTCTGCCATGCATCACATGTGCTCCTTCTCGGAATCAAACTAGCATCAGAGTTTTAAGGGATTTGACGCAAGTATCAGCAAGGGGCAGACAAGTGCAGTCAAACGATGCTCTCTCTTCATGCATTCCAAGGACCACGGCATTTGCAATGATCATACAGGCCAACTGGTAACTAGTACTACAAGAGCCCGCAGTGGACTCGTTCCAGCCGTGGTGTTTCGTACTACCACTGCCACTACCACGACCAGCGCCACTGCCACTAACACTACTACTACTTCCTGATGCTGTTGCTGCTGCTACCAGTACTACTATCACCACCACTACTCCTCCTCCTACTCTACTCGTGCTCCTCCCCCTACTCTGCCTCTAAGGGAGTGGCAGGAGCAGCAATAGCAACAGCAGCAGCAGCAGCAGCAGGCAGCAGCACTAGCGTAGCAACAGCAGTAGTAGTAGCAGTAGTAGTGGTAAAGGCAGTAGTAGCAATAGTAGCGGTAATAACAGTAGTAGCGGTAATGGCAGTAGTAGCAGTAGTAGCAGCAGTAATAGTAGTAGCAGTAATAGCAGTAGCAGTAGCAGTAGCAGTAGCAGGAGCAGGAGCAGTAGCAGTAGCAGTAGCAGTAGCAGCAGCAGCAGCAGCAGCAGCAGCCGTAGCGGTAGCGGTAGCGGTAGCGGTAGCGGTAGCGGTAGCGGTAGCGGTAGCGGTAGCGGTAGCAGTAGCA